TTTTGGGGAAGATGACCAGCTAGGGCACAGAGCCCCCGACGGGGGTGGTGGTGGTGGTGGGGGGGGGCGTGCTGCAGCGTGCGTTCCAAGCGCACGAAAGGTTAGATGGATGATACTGAAATGTTGAGGTGAATTAGACGGCGCGCGGCGGGGGGCCGAGGAGCGAAGAAAGTGCGGCGGGCACGGTGTTAGTTTGTTTTCTTCTCTGTTATGTATGTCCTGCTGTCCTCGTGGTCCATTTGGAGTTGGGTCAGAGAGGCCGGCCTGGTTTGTGCGGATTTTACCGAGGCGGAAAAGTTCTGTTTTGTGGTAGAGATTGTGATGAAATGAATGAATAAATCCGGGCTTTCACGACGACAACAACAACAACGTCGAAATAGTCGGTTTTATTTTAGAATAGTAAAATAGGTGGAAGTACAGGAGGGCGATGGGGGTCCGCCGTATTTTCGCCAATTCGTTGGTGTGTGTGGGCGTTTTTCTTTCTGTTTTTCTCCAGCGGCGATCGATCGAGACCAGAGTGGTTCCTGGCTATAGCTTTAGGCGCAACCTCAAGGAGTGTAGTTGTTTTAGCTGCAGGAGCTACTCCTCCATTAGACAGCCGCGTTTTCTGACAAGGAGTCTCGTGTTCGAAGGGAGGGAGGGAGGGAGGGAGGGAGGGAGGGAGGGCGCGTCGTGTGGGGCGAAAGATCGGCCGACGGAATAATAGTGCTTGTGTAGCGCGCGGGGGGGTGGACAACATGATTTCTTGATAATACTTGCTGCAATGGGGGGTGTATTTGTTAGGGTTGCACGCCGCTGTCTCTGTGTGTGTGAAGTACATTTACCCAGCTGTGAGAGAGAGTGGTGCCCTCTAATGCAGGGATGCCTCGCAAGATGTGCGAAACGCCTCGAAGAAGAAGTGATTGAAGTGATGATGGTTGTAATATAATAAAATCTACAGTAGTAGTACTCTTGATATTTGTGCCCGCACGAGCCGGACAACAACGTCGTGATGCAGCCAGCGATGGTGCTACATCTCTACATGTATGAGGAAGTACTTACAATGCGATGATGACGATGATGTTTTTGATGTGTGTTTGGAATGTTGAAGCATGCCGTTATCTTCGGCTTACTTGCGATTAGTAGTTGTCTTGACGTGCGATACAGCTACTGCTACTGCTGCTGTTCGGTTCGTTTGTGGCATGTTGCGCGCATGATCTCCGCGGCGTGTGGCTGGTTCTGCTGCTGCGCTCGCTCCGCGCCAACCCTTACAGAAGCACGCTTTCCGAAATAAGCATCGTAGGTAAGGTATAATAGTGCTGTATTTTGTATGCGTTTGAAGAGGCCATCGACGCTTGTTTGCGTTCATGGAGTTTCTCAACCTGACATGTCAACCCTTCTTAACCCCATTCACACCACGCACACAGCAGCAGTGGGTTTGATCTGTACGCCCTGCTGCTCTTCGGCTCCTCGCGCCCAACTCACGCTGAACGCGTTCGTTTGTTCTCCCCACCCACCCGATTGCAACAACGACACCGACAGAGACACGAGCAGCGCGCTCTCGGCTTTCGTTGCTCCTAAACCGTTTTCTGTACGGAAGGAAAGCAACGAAAGCGAGCGCAATTTAATATCCCATCCATGCTTCTACTTCATACATACGTTGTGCACGATTTGGTGGTGGTGACCGCCAGCAAAAAAAAAATCGCTTTAATTTACTTGAGCGCACAACAAGAAGAGCAGCATCGAAACAAAGAGAACCCTTCGACAACAGCTTCGTTATTTCGTATTCGCTCTCTTCTCTCTCTTATCTTTGGAGTCACACAACTACAGAGCGATGTCAGAGTCCCGCCATCCGACGGGTAAAGGTCGGTCGGGGAATTAATTGCCAAGCTGGCCGAAGTTAGATTGTACGCGCACAGGCTGGGCTCATTTTGCGGGAGGAACAGGAAAGAGAAGAGTGCCTTCTTTGTGGACACGCGGCCCACTCTCGTCGTTGACAGACCAAGAGATATCTGGTTGCCAATACTGAGAGTGCGGTGGTGGCCGAAGCCAGCCTCGCGCTCAGTAACAGGGGTGACCGCCCGGAAATAGATCCAGCATGGATCCATCGATCCATCATCATGTGTCATTACTGCTGTAGGTTTGAAATGAATTGCGCCGCGTTTTTGAGACCTACCCCAGCGCCTTGTTGTACACTTCGCGCGCCCCCCTCAACTGCTCCGCCGCTCTGTCTCGGCACACAGCACAGCTGCAGCTCACCCTGCCGTTGATAGTGGCGACAGCAGTGAAGAGGTCACCATGCATCGCTTGCGCTTTCTCAGGGTGCCACTTGGTGGTGGCATTGGTGGCATCCGTCCGAGAGCACATTCCGCTCCAACAGCAGCAGCATCTGCAGGAAATACCTCACGCATGGCGGCAACGAGCAGCAGCAGCATCATCGGCGGCAACACCGCCGACACCCATAGCAACAGCAGTAGTAGCAGCAGCAGCAGCAGTAGATGCCTCAGCACGAGCGCAAATCAGAAGAAGTACGAGGACATCCCGAAGCGCGTCTACGAGAGCGCGCCGAAGCGCCGCCACGGCAAGCACGCTGGGATGAAGAAATGGTCAGCAGCTACGAGAGGCCCTCCGCCGCAAGAGGCGGAGCAGGAGCAGGAGGGTGAGGTGCAGCAGAAGCAGCTTGCCTTGGGGGACGTTTGGAGCAGCGGGAACGAGGGGGACTTGAGGGAGATCACGACGGGGCTGAAGGAGATCAGGGTCAGCCCCTGGAACCTGAACCTCCTGGCGAAGCTCGTGAGGGGACTCCCGGTCGTGGAGGCGAACGCGCAGCTGCTCTTCTGCAAGAAGAAGCACACCACGACCGTCGCCAAAGCCATCCAGGTACTGTCTGTATGTACTTACAGCAGTAGGCGTGTGGGTGGCGCTCTCTCCCGCTCGCTGTCGCTGGTCGTGAGATGAGTGATGGCAATCATCCTCCTCCTCTCTGTAGATGGGTAAGCAGATCCCATCGCGGGGTTCGATGGTGAGCCGAGAGCAGGCGAGACGCAAAGTCCAGATTTTGTGTTGTAGTTGCATACAATATCCCTTTCACTGAAAAGACTCCACCACATCCCGTTCGACTGCTGTGGGTATATCTCGAATGGGTAGTCTTTCTGTGTGTGTTTTTATTATTCCTTAATACAATATCCCTTTGTTGTGCTGATTTCCCTTGGAAAAGGTCTGTGTACAATTGTACTCGACAACGGATGCGCACACCCTCGTGTTGTTGCTCCCTCTGGAACAAGTCTGCGACGACGATGTGACGGGGAAGGAGGGCGAGGGATGGAGGGGCCTTGGGGACCAAACTCTCCGCCGTTCATCCGGAGCCCTTATCTGTCCTCCTCGTCCCTGTGATGCCAACAGCAATAACAACATAGATAGGAACCAACCGCAAGCCGTGTGCGCCCAGCCCCGCCGGAACACACCCCTCTTCAAACTACTACGGCGGTACCTCTGTTTTCCTGGGTATACTGCTGTATTGTACCCCCCCCCCCATCCTACAGTAATACGACAACTCACCAACAGCCTACAAAATTGCTTACAGCAGTAATCCATTCCTGACTCTTAAATCTGTGTGTGTAAGAGATGAATCTGTTGAATGTTTCTAAGGAAAACAAATACCACTTGGGAAGTACAAACAAAATGCCGTGCGTGCGATCGCGTGTGCGCACGCGGTACTCCCCACCCCCCACACCACCACCACAAGTCTCACTTCCACCCTCGTCCCCAAATCCCCCCCCCCCGCAAAAAAAATAAAACGCCTATGCTTAAAAAAACAGAACGCCCTCAACCTGGCGGACATGAGGTACGGGCTTGCCGCGGAAGAATTGGAGGTGGGCGAGATCTTCGTCACGAAGGGGAAGGTGGTGAAGCGTCTCCGGATCATGGGCAGGGGCCGCGCAGGGATCGCGAGGTGCGTCGGTCGGTAACCCTGTATGCAGTATACATGTAGTATACTAGGGGTATCCTCATTCTATTCCTCGTGTCCGCCCTGTGCGCAGGGGTAGCGAGGTGCGTCGGCCGGTAACCTTGTAAGCAGTATACGTGTAGTATACTAGAGGTACCCCCATTCTATTCCGCGTGTCCCCTCTACGCGCAGGGATAGCGAAGTGCGTCGGTCGGACAACCTTGTAGTTATACATATACTAAAGGTCTCCAAATTGTATTCCACTTCAACCTCCCTGTAAACAAGAATGGAGAATGCAGTACAGGGGTGTGACAAGCTTGTGGGCTCTGTGGTGATAGATGTGGCCTTGTCGCCACGATAGCGAAAGAGCGAGTGGCAGTAGAGAGACAGCACGCGACAGGGAAACAAGCAAACTTTGGGGGGGACTGATTGGAGGAGGAAGAGGACAGCGTTACACGTTTAGGGTGTCGTTTGAAGCCGTTCGGATGCATGCGCCACAAGGCGCGAGTCTCGCAATCTGCGATACCTCGTACACACGCTGTTGCCAACCCCATACGTTTGAAGCCGTTCGGATGCAGGCGCTACAAGGCGCGAGTCTCGCAATCTGCGAATCCTCATACACATGCTGTTGCCAACCCCACACGGCATTACATACGTGTAGCATGTACGCATTTGTTGTCTTTGCTGCGAAATAAGGGGAGAAGAATCGTGGACAAACCCTGTGGAGGCAGGCCCCCTCTCTGATCGTGTACGTGTGATTGGCTACGTTTTTCGCGGTGTACAACCGTAGATTTTCCCGCTTGTGATGAACCACCCTGCTTGAAAAGTATAAGGACCACCTCGGGTGCGGAAGTGTATACCCTCGTAGTCCCTGTGTTTCTAAAGAGAGAGTGGTATTCTGGCCCCGACTTCACCCGATTCCTGAAGATATGACCCCAATCACTGCTGTTGTACCTGTTTCTTCACGTCGTACATGGTTTGTTTCGCGTTACCATAATGTTTTCGTTTTGCCACGGGTGTCGTGCACAGCGCCGCGACGACTCAACTATACTTATGGCCTCCACTCTCTCGTCGTTTGGGGGGGGATGGTCTCATCAGTATTGCAGTTGGTACATTGGTCGTTGTGTTTTGAGGCGGGGTTCCTGCACCGATAATCGCGTGCTTCACCCATCACCCGTGATGCAGCCATGATCAAAATCAATATCTTTGTTGTACCTCACCTCAGTCACTTTAGCATAAAATGTATGAAGAAAAGAAGACTCGACGCTCTGCCCAACCTTTGTCGTGTCGTCACGCAGGCGCAAGTGGAGCCACCTCAACGTAACCCTAAGGGAGATCGATTTCGACAAGCAGCTCAAAGCGGCGCCTAGCAGGAATCGGAGGGAGAAACTGATGGCCCGCAAGGATGAGGTGGGTGTGTGTGGCACCTCGCTGTTTTTTTCGGTATCGTTTTGGTGATGGTGGTAGGCATCTTGGCATCTTGTAGCTTGTACGTAACTACGTCGTCCGTGAACGTAGTTTGCC